ATTAGATTTAAAATCCATTTCATTATTAGAGAAAACTCCATATTCTCTTTAATAAATTGTTTTTCATTACTATAGCAAATTCATTGAATGATAATTTAATAAATTAAAAATGTAAATTATGGAAAGTAAATAAATCAGGTAGTAAATGTAGAGGTGGTTAATAAGAGGCTTCAATAACCTTTTTGGAAAATAAAAGGACTAGTTAAATGAAGAATACGAAGTTGGTCATGTACACAAAAAAAAAAAAAAAAAAAAATGATCAACTTTTTTTGTATGTAATTTTTTTTGAAAAAAAAATACAAAGATTGTCAGGAAAAAAAAAATTGATAAAAAAAAAAAATAAATCAATTGGAAAAAGATTTGTTACCAATAAATTAAAATAAAAAAAAATAAAAAAAAAAAAAAAGATTTTGTTTTTTTGGAATGAAATGTGATTTTAATGAATTTTGTAAGATAAAATTTTATACCAGTAACAATAAAATTTTCATGTAATTAATATTTATATATTTTTTTGTATTGTCAATAATTGTCTATGTTTGTTAATTCAATAGCAATATACATTAACTGCTGAATGTAACTCATAACAAATAAACAAGTAATATACATTTAATTATTAGTCGATATTCAATAAGGATTTAAATTTTTAATAAAAATAAGGATTTTTATTAAAGTAAATAAATGCCTATTGAAATTAAAGAATGCTGAACGAAGTAGAGCACATAGTTAAGAAGTACTAGTACAAAGCATATTAAAATACATATAAATACAACAAAATCGTAGTGACACCTCTACATGCTCTTTATTAATTGGTTTGTTCAGTATTATAGTAAAGTCACAGAACACCCAATAAATAAAGCAATGGTCTATGGTTATAACGCCGAGGTTTACCTTGTACCTAAATAGAAACTTTGTATATGTTGTTAAGTTACATGATTTTATTTTATTTTCAAGAGTCTTGTATTATTTCTTAATACTTTTTTCCAACTCTTTTTTATTTTCCTGATCTTTTAAATTAGGTGCTTTAATAAAATTCTGAATAATTACTTTATTCGAATTCTCTAATTAATTTTCTTTTACTTCGGGTTTAACTTCCATGATATATATATATTTATCCTTTTTTTTTTTATGATTACATATCCTAATTCGTCCATTACTGGTCAATAAAAGACTTCATTAACCCTTCTGATAATAAAAAGGAGTAGCTATATAAAGAATACGTAATTGGTTGTGCAAACGCGGAAAAAAAAAAAAAAAAAAAAAAAATTATTGTGTCTTTTTTGGATATTTTTTCTTTTGATAAATAGAGATACGTAAAAAAAAAAAATACATTTATTTTTTTTTAGATGATTGAATTTAGGAGAGAAAATTGGTAAAATATAAATGGAGAGTAAGATTTAGTACTAATAAAAATGAGATCTTAAGGAGATAAAAACATTTACACATAAAAGAGTTTAATTTGCATAATATTTATATTTTTAATTTGTGAGAGAAAATTTTATACATATAAGCATAAAATTTTTACGTAATTAATATTCATATAATTAATTTGCATTTATACTAATTGTTAATGTTTGTTAATTCAACAGATATATATTTAAATTGCTGAACATAACTCATAAGAATGAAATAAATAATTTACATTTAATTAATAATAAATGTTGAATAAGGATATAAATTTTTAATGAAAATTAGGATTTTTATTGATGTAAATAAATACCTATTGAAATCAAATAATGCTGAACGAAATGGATCACATAATTAAGAATTACTTGTTCAAAGCATATAGAAATATATATAAATACATCAAAATCGTAAGAGTAACTCTACATGCTCCTTATTAATTTGTTTGTTCAATAATCTCGCAAAGTCACCGAACATCCAGTTAATAAATCAATATCATAGATTCTTTAATATAATAATAAAATGATTCACAAGTTGTAACTATTGAAAATAATTTTTTTCATATTGTAGCCTATTCCGCTGAATGTCACTAAGTTTTCTTGACGTATAGTGAAAATATTGGCTTCACCTATATTGACTATATCGTTTAATACATTGCTCTATAAATAATACTATTGACCCTTTTTGTACAATATTTAGACGAATAAACATAATAAAAACATTTTATTTTGTGCATGCTAATTCGCAAGGACAATTTTCTATCATAAAGCTTGCTCTAAAATAGTTATTCAAAATGTATGTAAACAAAAAATATATGTATATACATACTAGCACTTAAAGTGAGCGCACATAAAAAAAAATAAATAAATAATAATATTTCTTTTTGTGGGTATGTACAATTAAAAAAATATATATATTATGATTATATTTTTTTTATTACTAAAAAAAAATGTAATCTTAAAAAAGAGAATTAGTTTTTTTTTTTTTTTTTGGAGGATAATGTGTAAACTACTTTGGAAAGTATATTTTTATTTTAATCTAAAATGTAATATTAAGGAAATTACATTTTGGAGTTTTGCTTATATTAAAAAAAAAAAATAATTAACTAATAAGTTATATTTAATGTTTATTAATAATAATAAAAATTTTATATAAAAATTAAGTAGAGTTTACACTACATTTCCCTTATTAATTTATTTGTTTAACACTAGAATAGTAATTGAACAGCCATTAATAAATCAGAGCTATAAATAATTTCTTTTCCTTAGGAATATTATATTATTTATAATAATTATAATAATTTTAATACTTCATGAACTGTTACTTGAATAATTTAAGTTTTTATATCTCCAGTATATACACTATTCTAATTATTTTAATATTATGTAATATCTATATTAAATGTAAGACACTTTTATATTTTACATATTTTTACTTGTAAGAACAACCTCTACATAAAATATTAATATAATAAAAATAATAAAAAATGCACTTTTATTAAATTTATGATTATTTTTAAGAGAAAAGTTAGTATTAAAATATTAAAAATGATAGTATTTATACACACCACTTTTTATTAATAATACATTAAAAATTCTAACAAATTAAATTTAAAAAATAAAAATTCTTATTAAAATTCTCCATTAATATTTATAAAGATGTCTTATAAAATATAACCATTTAAGAAAAAAGTTATATTAGAAAAAGACAATTGTTGAATTTACTTATACTATATAAATGAGTTACATAAATTTTTTGGTAAGTAAAATGAAAAATAAAAAATTTTGCTATAAATATATAAAAAGAAAAATAAATAAAAAAAATAAACACATCGTAATAATTATCAACACTTATTAAATAAAAATATAAAGGCTAAAAATAAAAAAAAAATAATTTTTTTTTATATTTAATTAGAAGATTATAATAATATATAAGCAAAATGTTATTTTATAATTCTGTTTTATCTTTATTTATTGATATTTTTTATATCGCAATAAAAATGAATTCATTTGAATTTTATAAGAAAAAATATATTATATTTAACTAAAGATAAATTTTTATATTTAGTAAATAACATTTATATTAAATTTGAAACTGATAAATATTACTCATAAAAAAGTAAATTTATAAAAATGTATTTTTAGAATAAATTAAGTAACTCTGTCAAAAAATAAACCTTTTTTTAAAAAATATTTTTTACTGTAAATATATGATTAAAAAAATTGTATTTTTCTTTTTTTCTTTTTTTAAATTATAATTAATTTATTTTACTTTTAAATGTGCTTTTCATAAGGATTTGTTATTATAATTTCTTTGAAGTAAATACCTATTTTCACTTTTTCTTTTGAATTTAGGTACTTAATAAATTTTTTTCATTTTTTTTCAAATAGTTGAAAAAGAAATTTTTTTTAAAAAATAGTTATAACAAAAAATAAATATGCACATATATTGTATAAATATTTATCAATAATGAAAATAAAAAAAAAAAATTAAGATAAAAAAAAGTATACTAGAAAAATTAAAAAAGTTATAATTAAAAGAAAAATATGCACAAACATAAATTATATTTACATAAGTGAAAAATTGTGACAAATGTAGTATACTGTATGAAAAATACATGCGTATAAAAATTTTTAATTTATAGAGTTTTTTTTTCTTTCTTTGATGGAGATATATCTCTATAATATACGATGATTTATATTTATAAATCATAATATACCGTATATAAAATAATTTGAAGTTCGACATAATTCACAGAAATTGGTAGTTTAGAAAATAAAAATAAAAAAATCGTTTAATATTAAATGTATATCATTTATAATTTTTATTGCATTAAATTAAAAATATTTAATTTTTTTACATAATTTAAAGATAAATTAAATCTTAATAAAATATTTTTAAAATAACCTTATCCGATTTATTATATTTTTTATTTATTTGTAAATTAACATTTTTATTTTATTTTTTAAAGAATTAAGAATATTACTCCTATCTAAGGTAACCATAATATAATATGTAATAATAAAAAATTATAAATTGTATTTCATATATGAAAATAATTTTCTATTTTAAAAATTTAAGAAATTAATATAAGTTGTAATAATATCTAAATTAATATTACAAATCCATAATTTAGTATTATTGAAAATTGAAACAATTTTACACCTGAATTAACAACTTCCACTTCAATATTATTCAATAAATATATTAATATGAAAACGTTAACTTTATATTCAAAAATTACTACATTCCTTCTTTTAATATGGATGTATCAGTGTTTTTATAACGTAAGTTAAAATTTTTACAAAAAATATACATATAGATATATTTTACTTCTAATTATTCTAGAAATTCCATTTGATTTACTATTCTAACAAAAGAAACATTCTTTTAAAAAATTTTTATTTAATCCATAGTGTTATTCTTATAGAACATGGATTGATGAAAATATATTGCAAACAAAAAATGAGTTAAAATATGAAAGAGTATTAACAGA